CCCCCCACCCCCGAACCCCCCTAAATCTCACAGCACATCACTATCAGTCCCAGAAGTGTATTTTATACTCCTCCTCTGAGCGAGATACTGCTATCGGGTGTCTGCACATCTGGATAAAGCAGGCAAGTGATAGGGGCCGGAGCCAGACCACCGAGGCATCAACCTCCTGCTGCCTGAGTGCTCCAGCAGATAACCCTGCACGTCCCAGAGCCTGGGCCCACGCCGCTGGGAAGGCGACAGCACCCAGTGCCCTTGCTGGGGGTGCTGCCTGGGCGCTCCAGAGCCAGTCTGCTGGGAAGGGGGGGTTGTCTGGCTGTCCCTGAGCCACGAGCTGGCAGAGCTCTCCTGACAGCATTTGTAATTGCCACCAAAAACTGCTTCTTGGGAATAAACATCCCCAGAAGCCATTTCAATGGCTGTTTACTGCAACTGCATCCAACTGGGCTGAAGGCTGGCGCTCCATTTCCCCTCCCCAAACTGCAGACCAGCACTTCCCTGCCTCAGACACGCTTGAGTTGGTCAGAAATAGCCTCGTGCAGATCTAAACACACAAACAGTGGGGAACAGCCAATTCGTGCTGGTTTTTACCTAAGGAAATGCACAAGCGTAGGGAAGAGAAAGGGGCTTATGTGGCTTGGGGGACCCTCCAGATGCATCGCCACAGAAGCATCCTCACCAATAATGCCTGATCTATGGCTTCATGTCCTGGGTGGCAGAAAAGACAACACCGCGTGGTTTTTTTGTCCTTTACTCCAGTGGGACATTCCTCAGGGCAACCTCCAACCTCAGGTGGGATTTTGGGTGTGAATGCTCAAACCGCAAATGGAGGTGCATGGTCCTAGGCAGACCTGTGCCTGGTGGCCAGGGCTGGGCAGGGTCCTGTGGCAGGGCAGCGCCTGCAATGGAATGCCCAGGGGTGGCTCCACATTTGCTATGCAGCTCCAAGAACAGTTACACTTCTGAACATGTTAGCGTTAGTCAGTGATCTGGAACAGCATGGAAATATAATCCAAGGACATGCATGACTGGACATGTATGACAGGAATAAGTGGTGTTTGCCCATGCTGGAGTGGGAGCTGGAAAAGATGCAGGCACCATCTGCACTGTGGTGTCAGTAACTTGACAGCAATACAGTTTAGGAAAAAACTGACATAAGTTTTAGATTTTATTCATTCGTACATTATTTACAGCAGTTGCTTTCATATTACAATTCTCTTTCATCTTTTCAGTTTTCACTTATAAAAAATTAACCAAATAAACCTTATATAACCAAATTTATCACAGCAGGTCTGGTTAATTTTCACAGTTACAGCGGCCATCAGGAACAGAACTTAAGTACCTACAAGTCATTTGTCCGGAGCACCTCGCCTGACCCTGCCCGAGGACACCCTGCTGTCCCTCGAGAGCTGGCTGGCTCCCGGGGCTCTGCCGACGGAAGATGGAGAGACCACGCCGCAGCGGGATAACGCTTTGTAGGCTGGAGCTCAAATGCCTAAAGCACACCAAGGGCTAATTCGCACACATCTTAACACGTCCTGCCACGCTAGAGGAACTGGTTTGTATCGATACGCCTTAATGCTATGCAAACAGCTTTCTGACAGAACTGACTCCTGCTTCCCTCCGTAAGAAAAATATATTCATTTATTCTATTTTTTGCTATTGTTGAGCCCCAGTAGTGCAGCAGTAGAATACACTGGGGTACTAGGCTGCGGCAATGAGCATTTACCTTCCTCTCTGTGACTCTTGACAGCTCTTCCTTGTGTCTGTCTCTCCCACCAGGAATGGTATTTCCAATAACTCACCCTGAAAACTATGGTGAAAAACCTGCGCTGTGTTAGGACTTACAGTATGATTCAGGCGGAGGATCCTACATGGGCAAGTTCTCTGCCAAGGTGAAGTCCAGTCCCAGAGACCGATGGCCTTTCCTAGTACTTAATCCTGCTCCCCAGGTGCAGTAGCAGCACTGACGCCAGTGTCTTCCTAAAGGTATCATCTTCATTAACTGTCTCCCTGTGCTCTCCCCCACGTGCTCATTTGCTTTACAGTGGTAATTATTGCTGTTTTAAAATATGTTCGTTTTTCTTTGAGGACTTGTAGCCACTTCCCGTTACAAAGTACAGTACATACTATGCTGAACATAGAAAACACAAGACTAATTTCACATCGGTCTTGTACAACGGTGAAGAGATGCAGAGTAAAGAGGCTGTTTGGGGGAATCCGAGTTTCTATTTTAGGCATGAGTTTAGCCTGTCACCCATGAACTAAAAAGCCACTGCCTTAAACATGAGCAGTTCTGGTAAGCAATTTAGCCCCAGTTTTGGTTTGGGTTGTTTTGTTTGTTTTTTTTTTCAACTGACATTGGACATTTTCCAAATGCATACCACACATCTGCTTAACACTACCAAAAAAATATTTTTTTTCCATTACCTTTACCGCATTTGTCTCAAGAAGACTTTTGCTTTAATAAAATAACACAAGCACACAAACTGCTTAAAGCTAACAGCCCAGCACAATCATAAGTACAACTCACAAAGCAACGGATGCTTTGTTAAACCTAATTATATTTTTTAAAAAGCAAATATACATATTACAAGTCAAAAGGACTAAGCTTTGGAGAAAAAGAAATTGAAAACAATGTTAGCTATATGTTCGTTACGCTTACATAGCAGTAGCTGCTTCTGCATTCAAACATGTTACTTCTAAATAAATTTACAGTTGCATTATGTATTTGTTATGCTCTTGGTCTCAATAAGTCCACTTTCTACTATTTAGATGCTAAAAGCATATTCTCTCCCACAGCTGACCATCCTGTAATACAAAGACAGCACTGAACAGTGATTTTAAACAGTGATCAAACTCCAAATGCTGACTTAGAGCTTGCTGTTTTAAATGATAGCGTGTTTTAACTAAACTCTGTTGTTCAAATTACTCTATTATTTTTTCAATGAAAGGAACTCCAGGTCACCATTCAGGTAGCAGTTTTATGGTGGGAGATAAGCATAATCTCTGTGCATAGTCTCTATTACTGAGGGATGCAAGAGCACACCTTTTTTTTTTTTTTTTCCTCAAGATTCTGTGTGGATCTATTTTGAGGGAGAAAAAAAATAGAGAAAATAATCCTTTTGTATTTTAAAGCTTATTTAACAGTTTGCATCCCTTTGTTTTCTTTATGTGGTACAGTATATTCCACTGCAACACTCCAGTTAGCGTGGAATTAAAATGCCTTTATTAAGCTTTAAATAGAGTGCAAACCAACAGCATCACACTAGTGCTAATGAAACACAGGCTCCCAGCACAATTGAAAATGAGATTGTTAATTCAGAGGTAACTGGAGCTGGTTCCTGCCTTCGTGTGTTTGGCAATTCGGAAATCCCTGCAGTCAGTCTCTATCCATCTGCACCTCAGCCAGCAAATGTGGCAAATTAAAAGGCAGCAGACCTGCATCACGCATGGATATGGTTCAGTGAGCCACGGGCAGCAGCAAGGATCATGATGAGGTTTTGTGAAACCACAGTTCCCTCGGGAATTCTGACCACAAGACTTCTGTTCTGGCAGTTGGCCACAGCAAGAAAGGGGCCCGATCCCCCCCAGGCACCAAGCACTTTCTGCTCCCGCTGCAGGTGGGCAGCACCAGGACCTCAGGGACATCTGAACCCCAACAGCCACAGGCCAACCCTTAGTCCTGCTTTGCCTACATAGAGACTATTAAATTCAGACATCATGACCTAAAGTATCATCCTCATCCCCCATGGGGACGGATGCAGGGGGGAAATGACTGTCTAGGTCCCAGCTCCAGGGACAGATGTCCCCAGGGTTGTCTACCCCCTGCTTTCACTGAAGGGTGATGCTGAAATGAGTCAAGATACAGAGCTGGCCCTTGGGATCTTAAGAATTTAGGTGTATCCATCTTGCACATAAGCAGAACAACTCATACCCTGCAAGCTGTGACGCTGGCTTTGGGGTTGCAGCTACCTCTGCAGCAACACAAACGCTGGACCTGCTTCTGTGCCACATGTGCCCCTCACTACACACTGCCGGCCAGTTCAACCCTGCAGTGCTGCTGCACCTCAGAGTCGAAGGGCACAGATCATCCTCACAGTCTCCCTATAACATCACCAAACTCACCCTGCTTCCAACAACCATCTTCTATAACAAGCCTGCTGCGCCCTGACAGGGTGACTACACTCCCTGCTATCTCCTCCCATGATGGCCAGCCTGAAAAGCCCTGCAGCCAAGGTACCCCGTGGCTGTGCGTTTCTCCCCCCCAGGCAGGCAGTGCCCTGCAGCAGCCCCAACTTCCCCTGCTGCTCCCTGAGCTGTACGTGCTGCAGCCATAGGAGCAGACAGACTGTGCAGGCCAGAGCCCAGCTCCTGACACTTGGTGCTGTGCGTGGGCACAGCCCCAGCACGCTCGGGGAGAGGTGAAGCCTTGCTCAGAAATACCGTGCCACGTACCGCACCGTAACGGCAAAGTAAGGGAAAGGGACTGCTTCCAGCTGATGGCACTGCCACAAACTTTTCTGCATCTCCCAGCAGAGATGAATTATGGCTGCCATTTCTAAGCAATCGCAGGTGCTGTCTGATGCACTTAAGGGAAAACATGACTTCACAACAAACACCAGTTCATGGGTTTCAAGTAAGATTAGAAATCACTTTCTTTGTTGGTTTGATGGCTCAGCATTGCTGGCCTGGAGCCGTTCAGGGGCCAAGCTTCCCACAGAGCTTAGTGCTAAATATTGCAAGTGCTTGAGATGCCAGTTCGCTCAGGGTGTTCCCACTCCAGAGGGAATAGCCCAGGCTGTGCTGGAGGGCTGGGGCAGCCCTAAGGCTGTGGACCTCAGCCACCACAATGCAGTTTCCTTTTTTTTTTTTTCTTTTCCTTTATTTCATTTTTGGACATCACACCTGGTGCCTTCCCCCATGGAGCAAGGGCTCTGCCCCAGTCCCCTCCGGGCAGAGGACACTCAAGCAGTGCCCACTGCACAGGGATTAGCAGAAGTCATCACAACACTAAGGAGCTGCCAGGCAAGGAAACTGCCTCCTCAGTGCCACCGCATGGCGTGCAGCCAGGGGCAGTGGGCTGCAATAACCAGCGTGCAGAACAAAGGAAAAGCAGGCACCTGGCACAGCTAGGGGAAGTTCCTTCACAACTCCAACTACATCCAAAGTGGTCGTACGAGCCATCATGTTTATAGAGGCTAAAAGCTGAAAGTCGCTCCACTCTTCCACACGCTCCAGCTAGAAGTGTCCTTGGAAAGAGAAACCACCAAAATAAATTAGGAGCATCCCCTCCCATCTCACACTGACATGAGTCTCTGTTGGAATTAAGACTCAACAACTGGCAACAGGATCTCAAGGCGTATCTGGCAATAGGTCCAAGATCACAAGCTCTTCTGATCAGGACCAAACCCACAACCATCTTGTGCTGCTCTGCACTCACACAGCCACTGAACTGGGGTGGGAAAAGTCAAGCCTGGAGAAAGGGGAGATGGGGGTGGTCCCCATGCAGGGATGTGGTGAGCACAGCTATCTGGTGTAGATGGAAGAAGCTCCCCAAAGGGAGACACAACCGATTAGCTGGGATCTTCTGCATGCAATGTTGTTTAAACCAGCGCACCCTGAAAGAGGCAGAGCGACAGATGGATGCCCCAAAGGCAGTTCAACCTCAATGTGTCACCCTGTGAGCTGCACCATGGCCCTGGCAGGGAGGGCAAGGCAGGCTGGACCCTGGGGGGGCAGTGGGTGAGCCTGGTGTGGTCCAGAGCCCTGGAGCCATGCAGAGCAGCCACCTCCTGGCTCCGGAGCTGAGCCCTGAGCTATCACGTTTAGGGAAACTTCCCGTCAATGCAGATGAAACGGCAGTATCACTTGGTGCTCTTAAGCCAACCTTGTCTAATCCTATTCAGAGCAGCTCTGGGTGGGAAAGCAACAGCAACACTGGAGGTCCTGTACCCCTGGTCCCACTGCTGCCAGCAGGGATGCAGCTCTGGCAGCCTCGTGGGCTTCCCAATAAAAACCAGGGCTGTGATCAGTGGTGTTTCACCCGCCAGCTCTCTCCATCCTTCAAGGAAAGCAAAACTCAGCCTATTTGGCACCCAGCCCTTTCCTTCAGAAATGAGCTGTCCTGGCTGGAGAGCTGGGAGCAACCAGCTGGATTTCTTCCAAAGAGCCCGGTCACAAAGCAACTGGCAGAAACATTAAGGGAAGAAATTGGCTTGGCAGCTACTGGCCAAGCGAAAACGACTCAGACTCAGTGCTTATCGGTGCATCTCCAGCATCCGGCGTGCCCAGGGAGGAATGTAGACAGCACCCTGAAAGCTGCACCTTTCCAAAGCACCTATTTCCCAGGCAACTCAACAGGTATTATACGATCAGATACTGTAATATCATCAGTTAAGGTTTACATGTTTTAAAGAAAATACTGGTAACCTGATGGTACTTCTGTGTCTGTGAGATCTGGTGGGATTTATTCCAGGTTTGGCTTTTCTGACAGGATGTGGAGTTTTATTACAAAGGCACAGGTATCAAATAAAACCAGCAACATTCTTTTAAATATCCCAATAAAAAAATTAATGCTCAATTTAGGCTTTATGTATTCCTCCCTTATTAAGAGACTAGTTTTTGTTTTTTTCCCCTCTGGAAAGGTTTTAGTGCAGTGATTATATAGCAACAGAAAAATAAACTAAAAAAGGCACAAACTGTTTTGTGTTTTTTTTTCTTTCAACTTTTGCTAACACTTTATATTTGTCTATTTTACTTCGGTTAATAAATCACTGAATGCAGCAAGAAAATATTCTGCCAATTTCTGTACACTATACAAAAACCCCTACCAACAGTACATTATTTCAGCTTCAGGAGAAATGTACAGCATAGAAAGACTTTTAAAAATATAGTGCCCCATACAGAAATTTTGTTAATTAAGCTCACGGTCTCTTGCTACAGTGCCCTTCACCATCCTCATTTCCCCCCTTATTGCTGGGACACACACTGGGACTCTGCCCCTCCGGCTTCTTACAGGCTGGACCAAGCCTGAGCCCAGCACTGAGCACGCTACTGGGGCTGTGCCAAACGGCTCCTCCATCCCGGCACCCTGAGATGGGGCGAGCCCCCTCCCCGCTGCTCTCATCCAGCGTCGCTGGCCACGTCTCAGTGCTGGGAAAGCTTTCGGCTGGAGAGGAAAGGGCACTTCTCTGTGCGGATGAGATGCAGGCAGCATCCCAGGCGTGGGTCCATGCTGCCCGCCCCTCAGTCCGCCCCACTGCTCCTCTCCTCTCCGCAGCCCCACACCAGCCACCTCCCTTCTGGGGCTCTCCCGCTGATGCTTCCATTGTGTTTGCAAGTGCAAGCGTGGTTAACACATGCTCTACCCTTTCATCAAGTTCATCATGATAGGTGGTGGGGTTCCCCCCCCACTCCCCGCCACACGTATAATACTTCATAAAATAGTAACTTGTTTTTCCCCAGGAACTAAATTAAAGGAGTTTTCCCTTTAAATGTATTAACAGACCTGAACCCCTCCACCCACCCCAAATTAAGTGCAGCCAGAAATGGTTTTCTGTATACTTCTGATACCATGTTTTAAAAATTAAAACCTACTGATCTTCTTTTTCCCCAAGACGTAATTCATGCAAAGTTGCTATTTGTTTAAATAAGTTATAAAAGTTGTTATCTCAGGCTAGAAGAAGCTGTAGTCTTGGTTATTCTTTAGTTGGCAGGCACTGTACATACATACCGGGTACAGACACATGCCGAATCTGCTTTGCATTGCTTTTTGCATTGTACAATTCACAAATCTGACATCATTAAAGCAGTTAATTACCTTTGATGGAAGGCTGCAGTGAGGCCATCTACATTTATCAAACAAGCAGCTGGTTAAGATAAGTACGCTCTTCCCCCACCCCCCCTCGGCGCTCCCCAAAATGCTATTATCTGTCACACGTTGCTTCTCTGAAGTGGTTAGATTTGGTACGCACATTAATGTGCAAATGTGTTGCCATAGGAACTGCAGCCTCCATTACGCCTCAATGACACCATTCAGCAAAAGCCAAAACTAAAAATAATAACAACAACAAAAAACCCCCATAAAAATAAAATTAAAAAAGCAAACAAACAAAAAAAACCCCAAAAGGCAGCAAAGAGAAAGTCCAACGCACATGCGGAGTCTGGCCCAGGACTGCAGGTTACGCGTGGCTACAGAACAGCGGAGGAGATATTTAGGTTTGATCTTAACTTCACACTATGGTACAATGGGGCTCAGAGTTCAGCCGGTCCGAGTCTGTGCTGGCTTAGGAAGGAGGGGGGGAATGGAGCGGAGTCGTGGTTACCGGATGCACCCAGGGTCTCTCAGACATTTGGCAGAATGAGGCACATCCAAAAAAAGTGCAACACCAGTGCCGTGGTGGCAGTGCGATGTGTTTGAGTGCGTACACGCGCTTTCCTCTTCATGCATTGTAGCAAGCGGGTTGAGGAGGGAGGGTTTTTGCTCCCCCCACCTTTTCTTTGAAAACTATTAACCAGTAAATAACGGTAAGACGAATGCATATTCTACTTACTGGTGCATGAAATACTGAAAACTGCATTCAAGTAATATTTCTGCACTATTATGAATGCATCACTATGTTATCTTACATTTGGAAAAGGAGAAGACTATGTACACCAGAGCAGTGGTACTATTTTGCAGTTAAGTTTCTGTGCTTTACGGAGGTACCTGGGAAGGAGAGGCCGCCGCTCCGCTCCGCCCCGCCGGGTCGCAGGACTCCCAGCACCACCACCTACAGCATGCGAGGAAGGAGCGCTGCTCGGCCGGCCGATCGAGCTGCACGGAGCAAACCAAAAGATGACGTGAGGGAACAAAAACTCAACCCAAATTGGCAAATCAACAGTGACGAGAAATAGAAGGGTAATTTATTATTTTTGAAGGGGGAGGAGGAGGAAAAAAAATATTTTTTGTTTGGTTGGTTGGTTGGATTTTTTTTATTCTTCCCGCAGCTGCAGGCGGTAGCGGTGGTAGCGGACCTGGAAAAACATTCTCTCCAATAAGGAGCGTGTCATTCCCGGCAGGGCATAATGTTCGACAACACCCACGTGCTTGAACCCCAAGGACTCGTAGAGCTTGTGGGCTGCCATCTTCACGGCCGTGGTTCCCAGCACAACGGAGGAGTAATTGTTGAGCATAGCAAACTCCAGCACTTTGCGGCCCAGGGCCTTGGCGATCCCTTTGCCGCGGTAGTTGGAGTCGACAGACATGCGGCGCAGCTCCACCGTGTTGTCCTCCTCATTGCCCCGTGCTGCCACGATCCCCACCACGTTGCCATCCAGGACGGCGACCCAGAAACAGGAGCCTGCGGAAGATAAAGCAGCACATGTAGCCACTGGCCACACTGGATGGGCAAGGCAGGCAAAGCACCCATTGACAAACACACCAATGGGAGCTGGGCTTGGGGTCAGAAATCACCTCTCTGTCACATGTGGGGACTAACAACCTCCATAAAGAAAGACCAATCTTTCTTTTCCCTTGATGCTTTGACGGGAATGTTGTTTTCCCAAGGAAAATGCACAGGAGAGTCACTATAAACCAAAACAAGATTCACAGGGACCAAACCTTATGAAGTGTGTTTGGCTGCCATCACACACAGGTAATGATCGATCCTCAACTTGTGGTGGCAGATGACGCTTAACTTCTGACCCGCACGCAGTCACACTCTCCTGGCCCACCCGTAACTTCACTGCAGTGAGTCCCAGATGCCGCCCAGCACAGCCCAGCCCATCTTTGGCTGCTTGTTGCATCCCACCTCAAGACCCAGCGGTGGCACAAGGCAGCCCCTCATATGCTTTGCTGCCGAACTCCTCCTTTACTGGGAGTCACACCGTCCAGCAGCTCTCGTCTGCTGGGCTGGCAGCGCATCACCAGGCTCATTCACTGAGAGCTGCCAATGTGCTCTGGGCAGACCTGTGGTCTCCGAAGCGAGCAGGGGTGGCCACATGCAGGCAGGGAGCCCACAGGGGAGAAGCACAGGGTGGTGCACAAAGCATCCTCGGCTATTTGAGAGGGCAGGACCCAACTGGGATGACAGTGAAGGAGGGAAAGGCTGAACCCCTTTTCCCGGTGCTGCGGCAAGAGGCAGAGAACCAGCTTGGAACAGGGCAGGAGCCCCTGTCCTGGGTCACATCTGGCAGGGCTGGGGCACGGGGAGGTGGTGGAGCCTCCCTAGGTCTGGGAAACCTGTGCCTGCTGTGGGCCAGACACCAAGCCATGGTCCCAACCTCTTGCTGGGACACATAGGGATGCTGGTTTTCAGGTGCAATGCAGGAGCAGCCCTGATGGCTCAGGGCTCCCAGTATCTCCTCCTGCCACCCACTTCTCCATCCATGAGGACCTGATGTGAAAAGTTAAATAAGTGACTCACTGGTTTGTTTCTGACCTTTCCATATCCACATCTGGATATGTAAGCACATCCTTCTCTTGGGGACTTCAGGAGCTCAGTGCAGGACTTGCCTAAGGCAGCTCCAAATAAAATCCAAACTGGGCAGCAAGATGCTGGTAGTGAGAAACTGGAACAACGAAAGCCAACAGAGCACCAACAGGGAAAAACACCATATACACCCCCAGAAAGAGCATCTCCTGTGCACAGCCCTTTTTCCCCACAGGTTGGGGTGCTTGTGGCCAGGTCTCCCCAGCTTTGGAGCTGCTGCTCCTCCTTTGCTGGCCTGCACCAGGCAAGAGCGTCTCATGAGCTGAACACACAGTGCTCAAACAATTCAGGCCAAAACCATGTAGAGTTTCAGTGAGCAAAGCCAGCCCATCCTGAACTGTGCCCTGGCACCAGTCAGCTGGCACACTGCTCCAGGAACAAGGACGCAGCTTAATGAACAGGCTGTGCTTTGGGGGTGCAGGGGGTCAGCACTGCCACTCTGCCATGGGGCTGAAGGGTCCATAAGGCCAATGCTACATTCAAGAGGCCAAAGCAAAAAACAATCTAATCAAAGCCCAGCAATCTGAAGGGCACCCAGTTTGGCTTGGAACAAGCACGCTGGGGTCCCAAGCACTCCAACCACAGCCCCAGTTATGAAGCTCAAATAAAACTGGACCTCACTGGAGAGAAGGACCAATACCATCCCACCCCACTGCTCATACTGGCCAACAAACAGTAAAGCTGATGCAATTAGAAACTGCTGTTAAGTCTTGAGTGTTACAGCATCACTTGGCCCCACCAGCAAGGGGACTTGGAAAAAAAACAAAACAAAACTGCAAATGAAACTCAAGTAATGAATTACTCAGGTCTTAACTAAAGATCTTTACAGAAAATTCTGGTGAAGGAAAAATGAACTAAGACCACCAGTGTTGTCAGCACAGGTCAACTGTGACCTTAGGTTGGATATTGGTGAATTAACACCCAGGAAAGCCACTGTTCAATTAAAGCAGCTAATCAGGGGCACTGACATGTCTCTCGCCAAGTGCTGACTTTCAGTGTTCAGGAGGAACATGGCTTCACCCGGAGGAACAGGATCCCATCACAGGAGAAACCTCTGGCACACTGCAACCTGCCACAGGCTAAACAGAAGAAAACCTGACTTGAGCAGCAGCTCCATCTTTAGCACCAACCCTGCCAACCACTCCAACCCAAGTGCATAGTATGTCTCTGTAAGGGTTGGCATTAAACAGTCTGCATGGGTGCTCAGAGGTGCACAGCACTGGTCCCCCTGCAAAATGGGCAAGGCATGGGGAGTGTAGCGAATAAGGCAACTCAAGAGTCCTTTGCTACTGGAAGAGAACAAAGCACAGGGCAGAGGGAGATCTCCCAGGCTGCTGCCTGTGGGACAAATGCACCTTGTGACTCGGCAAAGCCATCAGGAAGAAACAGCTGAGGTCTTCCACACTTCCCCACGGCACAGCCCAGCTGCTGAGGAAAAGCTGGGTATGAACAGGGCACGGGGAACCAGCCCAGGCTCAACTCAATACACCAGGGCTCATCCCCACCTTCAGACCGATGCACAGCTCCAGCAACACTCACTTTTGTTCCCAGAGCAAGCAAGTCATTATGCTGTCGCTATCTAGGTCAACAGCTAATTTTTAAAACACCAGGACCCATCCTGACCCATTTATCATGAGCAGTTAAGATGTCTCTGCTGCTGCGTTGACAGTGCAACTTGTTCCCCTGCATTCACCCGCATCTCAAAGCATTAATTTATTCAGACACGACCCCAGATGAAGACCTACAAGTGCTGAAACCCAGCAGCCGCCTTCCATCTGAATACAAATCGCAGGGCTGAGGGCTCACCACTCTCGGCTCCGCAGTGCTGTTTTTAAACCGCTCATCACATTGCAGCTCTGCCCAATGCACCCACCAGCCCATCCACCACGCCTCTGGCAGCACAGCAAGCACACCACCAACTTAGGGCCACACTGATCCTCACCCTACATGCACAGCTACCAATTTCAGCCCCTGCAGCATAGTCCAAAAAGAAGGTTCATGAGTCCCACCATGTTTGGGGAGCAGAGGTGGGATGCTCCCCAGGGGGCACATGGGGCTGTCCCCAGCACCCGCCTGGTCCTGAGGCAGCCCCAAGAAGCGCCATATGCCAGCCATCAACTGGTGCCCACCAAGCCAGTGGCACAGCCACCACATCCCTCTCATCCAGCACAGCACCTCCTCCTGGTGCTTCTTCAGCAAGTTTGCCTCGTTTTCCTCAAACCAGAGATACCAACCTAGGTTCCTCTCGGCCCAAGGTTATGCGATTGCTTCCCTGTTTGCTTCCCACTTTTATTCATGATTTTCCCTTCTTAGCAAGCACCTCTCCTCTGTGCCCACCAAGCACAAGAGACTGCTAAAGCTCACTCAGCAACACTTCCCACATTTGTAAAACAGCACGTTTCTAGTATTTTTGGGTCTTCTGCCTATTTAAAATCCAAATCTGGCATGCATGCCACATCAGAGCCCACAAGGCCCTTCACACCCCCATCCTCCTCCAACCAGCCTCCAGGATGGACGCCGTACCCTCACCACCCGGGTAGGGACCAGCCCGGTTGCAAGCAGCATGACAGCACACCCGCACTCCTTGTTAGTTTTTACTTACAACTTTAAATCTTAATTATAATGATTCTGAATTCAACGTGAAAAGAAATAGTATCTGGCACATCTCCCAGTGTGTTGTGCACGCAATGCTTATAATTAGCAGCAGACAAGACACATCTGCTCAAACAATGCGAGTTGTATTCGGCTCTTGTTTACACCAGCACCATCAATCCCCAAGATGTTTGCCCTGCCACCCACCTTGTGTCTGCACCTGCTCTGAGAATCACCAGTGGCCAGATCCTTCAGCCTGATAAAGACACCTCAATTTTCCAAAGGTGGCTACAAGCCCAGGAGCAGCTTTCACCCATGGGGTTGTCAAATCCCTCCTTCCAGGGAGCTGCATCTCATTCAGATGGGGATTTGCTACTGAAAGCTGTTCTGGGGTCCCATCATTTGCTGCTGACCTTGGGCTGAGACCTTCTCTCCTCTGGGCAAACCCTTCAGATTCAGAGCAGGAACCCTAAAGATCTACAGTTTGCTTTTTTACCTAAACTCAACATGTTTTCAGCGATCCTAGCCAGCTGCAGCTCCTCACCATATTCACTCTTCCATCAACACTTACTCTGAAGCAGGGTGGAAGCACCCTGGGAAAACCACCCCACACTGCCACCCCCCAGGGCTGGGGGGTTCTCTTCCAGATCTTTTCTGGACTGAGGGGATTGACTCAGAGCCTGTCTTGTTTTTGCACTTTTTCACACCTAGGATGAAATAAAATTAACTTCATCTCACCTGTCAGTAATGAGCAACAGCCATGTTTGCAGTGCTATTAATAGCAGGAGCTGACGTTTTACTCTCTCACACTTGCTATCTGAAAATAATCACTGCTGCAAAGATAAACACAAACCCTGACGGCTACGACTCTCCCTGCCCTTCAGATACTCATCTCATGGCAGCATCTCTGCCTTCGCCTTCATCTGTCTCCATCTCCTGGGGTCCCCTGTCAACGCATCACTACTGTCATCCAAAGCCCTTCCAGCTCACTCCAAGTCTGTTCTTCATGGATGTCTTGCATTTAACTACAGATGCCCCATGAACACCTCTCAGGAGTATTGGAGGTACCTACTGGAGGCATTAGCTGTTTCCAACCAAACACCAAGCCTCTTGACTCCCAATCTGATCTGGCCCCTTCAGGCTGCCAACAGGTGAAGGTGAGAAGCAGCAGCCATGAAAAGCTCACCACCACCTTGCTTAGCTTTCTCCACTCCCACAGCATGCTGCCTTACCACAGAGTTTCCACTTTAGGAACTGAGACAAAAGCTGTAATAAAG